GGAAGATAGCATGCTATATTGGCTATATGTATATGTCCTGTGCCATAAATGCCCTTTACTTATTCCCCTTCCATTTTACTGTTCTGATTAATAATCATGTATTTACTCACATTTAGTAGCCATAAGCTTTTCAAAAGACTGAGACCACTGAAGTACTTCTTCCAGGCTTATTCTTTGAGAAGCAAGGGCAGGGAGAGAAAACACAAAGTTAGAGCAGCCAATAACCACATTTTCACAACTAGCTTTAATAAAATCTAAGACTAGGGATATTGAAGATCTATCCTTGAGTTTTGCTGAGCCATCCCCAAATACTGCCTGAATTTGTTTCCTGGTATTTTCAACGTTAGGGGGAGAGAGAGAAAAAGCAATGCTATCTTTATTGAATATTTCACAGGGCAGAGAATACATCTGTAGTTTTAAACAATTTAAATAATCACTTAAAATAATTACAATAGCTATAATATTACTGCATGTGAGCCTGCCTATCAAGAAAAAATAGGGCAGCACATCTGAGTTTCAGAAATCGCCTTGAAAATCTTTTTATTCTTAAGGTATTTTGTCTATGTGTAAAATGATTACATGAATGACATCATCAGTAAAAGTGGACATACTTAATAGAAAATAAGCGCCACTAAACTTACTGCAACATTAAGACCTATTTCACTTAAGTTTCCTTTTTCAGAATTTGAAATATTCATGTTTCAAATTCTCTTATGTAATTATAATATTTATTTGCAGTGAAAATTGTACTTGCTTTTGAACAATGTACTTAGTCATTCTTGTTCAATATACACTTGGAAATATACCAATTGGTATATACTGTACCAAATATACCAATAAACAACCTAATCAACATTTAAAAATAGACCCAGAGAGTTGATTGGAACCTGTTCCTAGGCAAGTAGGATTGCAGCCATTGTATTAGAAATTATATTGGAAAGAAATTACTGAAAGATAGAGTAGTACAAAAATAAAAATAAAAATGTAGCAATTTAAATTATAATGTTACATTATGTTACAAAGTACTATAAAGTAATATATTTTTGTAATTATTGAAATGGATAGATCATTATGGATTTCCACTGTTCATAATTGGGAAGTGAAAACTGATTTACTGGCATTAGAGAAATGGAAGAGATTCGCTCTGTTAGACTGCCATGTGCTGGGATACAAAATAGAAGCATTTGTTGTCATCTGCTCCTTTGGCCTGTTATCACCTCCCAAACACTCACAAAAACAACTTCATTATTTTGAACTTTAGTAGTAATCCATTCTTGATTAAAAGTAAAATTGGTTTCCGAATGTTGAGGCCAAATAAAAGATTCATAAACCAGCTTGGCTGTTTGTAGGGTTTTATAGGCTTGCTAATTTATAATCTCTTTCACTATTTTTATTGGACAACATGAATAGATATGTATGCACATATGTCTATGTATTATGCTAGTCCATAATCATTTATTAACAATCAAATGAGGCAATCTTTGGTGACCACATAATCTGGGTTATGTTTGTTTAAGCACCTAGACACCCTATTTAGGACTATTAAAATGGCAATAAAAGGTGTGCAGCTTTTTAATTGTCCAAAATTCATCAGGCAAAACATTAACCAAAGAGAAAAAAAGAGGAGAGAAGAAAGTGTAACCTGTTTGGTCAACTGGTTCAAGTCATGTGGTTTATAGTACAAAGTCCCAGGGATTCCTATATTTATCATATGACAAAAAACACCCCTTTCCCCACACAAAACAACAGATGGCCTTTGTGGTTTACAGATGGTGGGGGAAGAGTTATTTTCATGATCTTTAAATTTGCAATCTAGATTATACTAATAAGAAAAACAAATGTCTACATTTTAAAATTCCACCTTAGACTATATTTTGAACTACTGAGCAGTGCCAGCAGGGCAGATAAAATAAAGCATTGCAGTCACAACTGTACAGTCAAAACCCTACCTCATTTGTGTGTGAGGAGAAGAAGAAGAAGAAGAAGAAGAAGAAGAAGAAGAAGAAGAAGAAGAAATGGCATTCTATTTACTCAGTAGAACTTTCCTTCCAAAACAAATTAAAAGTGAAAGCATGGAGTTGAATGGAGTTGAGGAAGTAATTTATGGAGAGATGCCATTCTATCAGTGGACATACACAATTGGATTAAACTTGAATATCAGCAGCCCTTTCATAACTGCTGAATATATGTCACTGAATTCTCTGAATGAGACAACAGATCCTCAGCTAACAATGCACTCAGCCTAATTTCATCCACTGCTTTTTACTTGGCATCTCTAGGATTACTCCAGAAGCTTGTAAAAAGAATATCCACATACCGTAGCTCCATACCTAACTGACTGTAGTTTTATCCTGCCCATGGTTTGGAGACAGAAAAGGTATAAGCAATAAGTTAATTAGAACTATTAATTAGAGCTATGAGCTCAAAATCTGACGGCCAAAATAGAGCCCCTGAGAGACTTATTTGAGCAGGAGACTGAAGATTACCTATGGTTCTCCATTTAGGAGTAGTCTAGTCTCAAAAGGCTTAGGCTTTATTCATGATTATACATACAGCATACATCTTTTTATATTCTTCAATGAAGGCTGTTAGGCTGAGAAAATATTCAAAGTCAACAATGAGCTTCATGGCTAAAAGATTTGGTCCTAACTCTCTTTTGTTCTAGCTGCTATAATCACCACACCATAGTTGGTCTCTGCAAGGGAAACGTTCTATTTTATCAATGGCAAGTATTTAAATTTTCTCTATTTAAAACAAAAAAAGCTACTTATCTCTAAACCACACTTTGAATTTTGAATGGACCACCATATAGGATTTGGCCCAAAGTTTCCTCCTTCTATATCACTTCCAGCATTGTATAGAAATGGATGTAGGATAAGTAACACATGAAGCTCGCTCTCAAAAACCTGAAAATTCCTGGTTTCTTCCTTTACCCTTTGTTCTGTAAACAAGACTTCTTGTAGATTGCTTTGTACTTACTTGGAAATGACTCTGTTTGTACCATCTCTGAACAAACTGCAAAGCCAACAGATGCTGCGATTCATAATCCTGGATGAAGAAAACAAATATATTTAAGCATTCTGTTCAAGGGATATTGGTAAGATGCAGGAAAGATCATAATGCTTATGTATTGATGCAACTTTATTAGGTCATCTTCCAGACAAAACAAACCAGTTTTCATCTTATATAGCCTTACCTTGAGCTCGTTACATATGGGGCTGAGTTAATATCCTGATTATTAGCTCTCTTTCCATTCTTGCAAGATTATACCCTTTTTCCTTTGTTTTCCCCATATGCCTGGATCAGTTTCCCAGAATATCTGTGTGACAAAAGCTTTTTAAATTCCTCATAACCTCTCTGTTCCATGAAGGATCAGCCTCAAACATCAAATTTCCATATGTAACTGCACCAAAATTGAAGATCTACCATGTCCCTACCTAACATGCATCAATTTCTCTCTTTTTCTTTTCTTTTTCTCAGATGAATTTTAAATTCCCTGATGTCAGTTTACTTTTATGCATCTGCATCTTGGAGCACCATGCATATTGGTGAACTCCTCCTCCTCAAAGTATCTTTTCTTATTGTGTTGCACTCCTGCGCCCATATTTCTGATAATTAAGTTGTGCTAAATATAATAGAACTTTTGGAAACACACTGAGGAGGATTGTTCTTTTTCTTTGTGGAGAAACAATTCAAGGGGAAAGCAGCATCTTTGCTGCCCCTGTGTGGACTCCTCTGACAATGCTTTCCTATGTTTACTACAAACACAAACAGTCAGAGGATTTATGCAGACTAAACTGAAGTGTGAAGAACTAATGTACAATAGTCAGTTATCTGCCCTTTAGATGTGATTGATTATCCAGCTAAAGTATCTATCTGTGGTTTCTAGATTGTTGGAAGTGTACTCCTTAACCAAAATATCTTATTTCCAGAACTAGTTTTATGTTTAGAATGGAATAGCTGCAACTGAGTGTTCTGAAAGAGAGTAAATTTTCAATTATTTAACTCACTAATATACATTTATGAAGAAGGAGAAGAGAGCAATAATGGTGAATATCTGTAGCTCGGGTATAGGATGAAGGTGGAGGTTCATTCTTGAAGCTTGTGGATTGGTTTCTGAAAGTTTTGTTACCAGGCTAGATAACAACTTAAGAAGAAGAGACTATGAAATAGTTTACTTCATACCAAAATAAATTGCTTGGCATTGAGATTCTGTTTTTTTTTAAAACTTGGCTGGTAATGGAAGTCATTTGTTATTTGATGTCAGACTTCAAACTGTAATAGGCACATCAAGTTCAGTAGTTCTTTCAGATTTTAGGAAAGACTACTGTGACATTTCCTTTACTATCAGCAGATTCATAAATGAATTAAATATACATAGGCTATTTATCTTGAAAGTCCAGAAACCTGGAATGCACTATTCAGGGCTTCTAACCATAGTCAATAACCATGTTTGTATATTTTCTTGTTTGTTTTTATTTGACAAACCTGCACTAGTTTTCACTGAATCTAGGATGAGAAGGTTTTCAGTCTAACAGATATCTTCATCAACCCTTCTTCTCAGTTCCTCAAAAATGAGCCACAAGCTTTACAAATTTGTGAAGCAATCAGCCAGAGTCTGATAAACAAAAGACTGCTTTATGCATTTTGACTTCTCTTAATAAAATGATCTGCTCTTTTTCAAATCATTTTTAAAAGATTTAACTGCTTTTGCAAACTTCAACATTCAGTAAGGCAGGAATTCTCTAATTATAAGTCTTGGCCTCTGGGGAGGTCACAAGCAAGTTAATGTGGAGTCACAACTATGTATGGTGATTTAAATTTTGATGACGCTTGTGCACACAAAGCAGAAGTACTATCAGATCTTCCTATTTTTGCTGGACAAACCTTCCATACAAAGTAAACTGTAAAATGTCAGCATTTGAATACTGAATGTAAGCCATCCATCATTCGCAAGAGCAGTAGACTTCTCACAAGGCATTTATAGTCTTTGAGGGTGTCCATCAAAGTGTGTGTACAGTTGTTAGTGAAGTTCTGTATTTTTACACACTATTGTTCATTTCTAGACTTCCAAAAGAAGAAACACTTCTGTTACCTGGTAAGAAAATAAGCTATAGATTATCTATTTACTAATAGTGCCGATTAAATACATTTAAGTCAAAAGAGTATGAATATGGTCTATATTTTAGTAAGTAATATATTCATATCTTGCCTGTTCCTAGCACTAATAGAATCAATTTTATTTATTGGGGGAGGGGTCTCACACAATTTCATGTATGATTGGGTTGAGGATGAAAATTTTGAAAATCCCTACCATAAGGATTAGATTAATCCAACTATAGTTCTATCTGCATGAGGATTTATCCTGAGTGTCAGTAGGGAGTAACAAAAAAACCTATTACACTTGTACATAAGTGTTTCTTAAAACTGAAATACTTCTTCTATGCATTTTGAATTCTTACATTCACTAAAAGATTTACTTTTAGAATGTATAAACCTAGAAACCCAAAAAACCTCACCCATTCAGAAATCTATTTTTTTCCCTTTTTTTTTGCATTTTCATGGATCATTGCACTGGACCTGCTTCCTCGATGAAAGAGAAAAACAGAGAAGCTAATGCATGCGGAGATGCAGCAAAATGGATTTCGTGAAAGAAGGTAATTGGTGCATCTTGTTCCAAGCATACCTAAGGAAGAAATGCAGCACTGTGTCCTACATTCTTCTTGGAAGAAGACTCTGCCAGAGCAATGCGTGCATTTATTTGTAAATTACTGTGGCTTATATACTGCACTGTTTACAAAACCACTGGGTGCTTAATAAATAACAGCATCAGCACTGAAATGTGAAAAGTCATTAACATGATCAAGGCTCTGATGTGCTATCTTTCAGGTGATTTGATCTGGTAAATGAGTTTTTACATGAAGACAAAATTGTTGAGTCTATCCACATTGTCAATGACTCTTCCACTGATTGTGAAATGTTACATGAGTTGTAATAAATGAATATACTGCATAGTCGATATGAATGAACATACCCTATTTCCTTTTTTTAAAATGATGAAAGCAAATGGATAAAGCTGTTATTAAATTTATTTTAAACTTGCTCTTTGTTCAAAAATATTTCAGCCACAGGGCACTTCAGTTATAGGCACAAATAAGACTCATGGCTTTAATATATTTCTCTCTCCCATCTATCAAAAATATTAAACTTGGATTATGTTATATATTTCAGTTTCAGAAATATAATATCTTAATATTGTAAGGTCTTATTTTTTCACCTTTACCAAGTTTGCATTATACAATTTACACTGTAGCGGACTTATTTTAGTATTCCATTGTAACTATATGTATCTTAACCACAGTTTTCTTCTAATCTGGGAAAGCATATGAAGAAATACTTCAGAACATGGCTCATATTCACTGATTCAGAGTTAATAACTAAGAATTAAGAAATCAAATGATAGACACTCATTAATTACCCTTAATGGTTATTAAACAGAAATGATTTCCCAAAAGTCTGAACTAATGGTATTTCCATCCTTTTGCCTCTCATCAGCCCACTCATTCTTATATAACAAGCTACAGAAATTCACCTCTTTGGCAGAATTAGGTTAATAGGTTTCTGGGTGTTTTTATTAGAAGCACAAACATGTGATGCTGCATGAAACAATACAATATTTTAAACTAAGGAGATCCTATTAAAATGATGCTGTATTTACTCTTCTAGACTCTTTTATCATGAAATAGTACAGTAGCTGTTCTTAAAATTCCCTGACAGTTAGGTATAGGCTAGTTGCTTACTTACCACAATATCCTCCAAGTTTTTGAGGAGGAGTTTATTGTGATGGTTGAGGAAATTATTTGCTTCTGTTTAAAATCAGAAGTATGCCAAAATCTGACCACGTTTGGTAGTTTTTGACTTGCAGAGGATACAGCATTGGGTATCTGCTTCTGGAAAAGAACAAGATCTCGTATTAATGCATCTTTCTTGGTGTTACTGCAAGCAGTGAGCGCTTCCCTTCTGCTTTGGGAAGTTGTCATCTTCATGTGTTTACATTTAAACGTTGCTTGTGGTTAGTGGGAAGTTCTTTTTATTTAAAAAAAATAAAGAAAGTTCCACCAGCCTTCAGAGATCCATTGATAAGAGGATGTTTGTTTTGTCACTTGTAGAATATCTTTACTGATTGACTGAAGCCACATTATTAATATCTTTTTGGGCAGAAGTTATGAACAATGACTGCAATCAACAGATAAGGCTGTCATTTTGTGACTAAAAGTTTCCAGTTCCTTATCAAGTGACACTTCTCTTCTTCAATTGCCAACGCTCAGTCAACCTTGCCTCAGAGATTTGTTTGCTATGTTACTTGGAACCCTGACACTCTCATTTGAGAAGTGATGAGGAATTAGATATAGATCAAAACCACCTCCTTTCTATAATGAAATAGCCATTACATGTGATCAATTATTAAAACATTGGCTTTTGGTGAAGTCCTTTTCTTTGCAGATATTCTGCTCTGAGTTAAGTCACTGCATATTGGAATGGAAGTTTTGGCTGAATCTGATGTATAGTATACTTAAATGTTGGTTGCTAGGGAACAGTGAACAGGTCTATGAGTATTGCATCCTGCTTGCAAGTTTCCAGGATACAGTATGTCTTAGGGACAGACAATCAAATGCCTTTGAGTATTTCCAGAATGGTTTACTACTTATGGTGCTAGCAGGAACTGTTAGGAGTTCAGAAATAAATTTCCTTACCCATTTCCTGAAGCTATAGAGAAGAAAGGAAGTTCAGTGTAGCAATGTGTGTTTCACAAATGTAATGAAAGGATACAACTGTGCACATTTTTATTTGCATGCAGCTGTATTATATAGATTGAAAGTTATCTGCTCTGATATATCAATAAAAGTCTCTCTTCTGGGAAAAAAATAAAGTGAAGTACATTTTGGTTGTTACATATTGCAGAAAAGAAGAGGAAAGAGTTACCACATAAAATTATATGTATGCTAACTATAAAGGTAACATCAGTAGAAATATTATGTATGGGTAATAATAATATAAATAAATCTTGAGTGGAGAAAACTTTGGCAATGTAACCTGGGATCTGTGCAACTTCTCATTCAGCTATCAAGCAACCAAATATCGATAGGGATCTATAGACTCCTGCTTTCCTATTTTTGCTTCTGTATTTCTGAATCAGGCATAGACTACAATCCCTTTTATTAGGGTTGCTTTCAAGGAAAGCAGTTCAAATAGATATTGTTTTTTGCAAAGTAGGATTCACAGATGAGCTGGGAAGAGAACCCAGTTGTGCTGAAATATTTTTGCTCTAGAATACTTTCTCTGAGGCCTCAATGCCTGAAATCCCCAGGAAATGAGCTTAACTTGAAAAAGACAAAATCTTCATAAAATGCTAAGTAGTAGCATACAACACACTTTTTCTAAGACTTTGTGTATCTGATGGAACAGCTTTTTAGATTTATGTTGCTTTATCTTGAGTTGTCTTATTATCATTGCTTTTAGTGTCTCTATTTACAGTAGGTTAAGACTGTAACCCTTGAATTTGTTTGGGGTTTTTTTTTGGGGGGGGGGGAGTGGAGGTGGATAGTGGTGGTACCCAACCTGAAACATGCAAACAAGCAGGCAGTAAAATTTAAATGTGGTTAATCAAGGTGAAATATTTGGTGAGGTGGATATTTTTCTTGCAAACTTTTTAGTTTTGCAGACTTTTAATAAACCCCAGCTTGTGTCACTACTTTCTAGACTACTGCTGATTCTTTGCCAATATTTCCTCCTTTTAAATCTTTCTTCCTCTTACTACACATGGATGACCTCCTCCCAGCAAAGAGCGAATGGGCTGATGTTTTATAGTTCTAAAAGCATTCATGTTTCACTGCAAGAACTGATGTTGGATGAACTGAAACAATTTTAATGAATGAGAAAAGTTGCTTTCTTTGTTTTTGTTTAGAAACGGTATAAGCATTTTAATCTGACGTTGGCAGTATGAAGGTCCACAACTGTTCTCTAAGCTTTCTCCAGCCCTAGCTTCCCTGCTTTCCCTCCTCCTCCTCGCCTTCCCCCTCCCCCTCCTCCTCTTCCCCATTAAAAACTCCAAAAGAGGGGGGTAAAAGTTATAAACAGTATATTCAGATTTTTTTACTACCGGTTCTGTGGGTGTGGCTTGGTGGGTATAGCAGAGGAAAGATACTGTAAAATCCCCATTCACTCCCTCCCCTACTAACTTGCTTTCCAGCTCCATTCTCCTGTGCAGGGCAACAAAAGAAGACCCAGCTGATCAGCTGGGACTCCAATCAGCTGAGACTTGGGAGGCAGAGAATAGATGGGGTGGGGCCAACCAGAGGTGGTATTTACCAGTTCTCTGAACTACTCAAAATTTTCCCTTCCAATTCTCCAGAACCTGTCAGAACTGGCTGAATACCACCTCTGGTTATAAATGCTTGTCATTCTTACTTTAAGTAATTTTTTAATTGTTTGAGAGATCCAGGGACAGAATGATCATTTGAACATTTCATCCCTACATACTATTTTTTTCCTGTTCCTCCTGTTTGTCCACTAAAATAAGTAGTCTAGCAACTAAGATTGAGTGGGGGAAAATATGGAAGAAGATTTTAAAATATTAATTTTAGAATGTAGGGAATTTTTACCAAGGTGGGAATTTTTACCAAGGTTGAACAAATCGGAAAATAAATTTAGTTTCTCTGTCCTGAAGTATGAAACTGCTTTTTCAGATTCCCCTATGCTAAAATTGGCAATAGGATAAAAATATCAATAATACCTCATATAATTATTTTTTCTTCCTATCACTAGGGGGATTTTTTTTCCTGGAATTTTTTTTAGAGATGGAAGAATTAACCCTCAAAAAGGATTTTGTTAGTTCCTGTTTGAAAATTTTGACAGTTTATGTGCATCAAAGTGTGCATTTAGATACCTGAATATTTTTGCATCCCACAACACCGGCTCTCAGTATATAAACATGTTTAACTATCAAAATGTTTAATTATCTATTGTGAGACATTTTACATATATAACCAGACTAAAGCAAACATGACAGAATGGGGCTGAACTATATATATGTATATATTTATTTGTATAAATAAAATAATATAAAATGGCATGGAACAGAAAGTATTAATCTGGCATGATTTAAACCTGCATCCAAAAGCAGGCTATAACAAACAATTGTTAATATGTTTTGGTACAATGACTAGCTTAAATCTAAGAAATGTAATGAAGCAATGAATGAAGAATATACAGAAATGTACATTCAAAGAGTTGCATTCAAAGGGTCGTATGGCTCACCGCCCTTTGGGAACTTAAATTCATAATGGGTATTCATCTTGAATTCATCTTGATGTGGTCTAAGCTTGGATGTTATTTATCCTGCTAATGAAACATCTCCAGGAAAACAGCTAAGTCCAGAGAACACCATGAACTCAACAGCTCATCTCTGAACTACATTTAAATTATTGAAGCATGAATCCATGAAAACTACCCAAGGCCAGATATTTTTGTTGTCTGTCCTTAAACTTCACTTTCCCCCCTTAATTTGTCACTTACAAGTTCATGTTCTGACCTTTTGTGGCTTAACCTCATTTAAAATGGAATGTGATGAACCATATTCTGCCTTCACCAGAAAGACTCAGAACATCAATTTGATCATATTTTAAATAATGGCTTAACTGCAAGCACAGTTGTTCTACAAAGTAAACTTCCAGCATTTCTTGGAAATCTTCTCCTTCTGTAGTTTTGAAATAGCTAAAACATTTTTACTGGACTCTATTCTTTCCATTGCAATGAATGAAAAAATATGGCTGATGCCTGAGGTCAGTAAACTGAGGATGGGAGAGAGTTATCATGGGAAAAGTGTCCTCAGTATAAGGCTTTCCTTCCCTGATTTTAGATTGTACCCATAATTTCCTTATTATTCCCATGTGACTGAATGGAACAGATTGCTCTGTTAGTATATGATAAGGATGGATAGAAGATATAATTTCTATCTGCTTGAAGAAGTTTGGAAAAATGATCTCAAAGTTTGCATTTATTAATCAAGTTGATAAACTAGCTGTACAATAGGTAAACTAGTAATATAAACTTTTTATATTTTCCCTATGTCCATCTCTCCTCATGCCACCATCAACCTTGCTGTTTCATTTCCTTCCTGTTCTGCTTTTGTTGTCTCTATGCGTGGGGAATTTAGTAAGAAAAGTTGAAAACAAAGACATTTGCAAGAGAGAAAGGATTAATCTTTTCTCTTCTGCTTTCTAGTTCTTCTTTCCATGCACTCCCAACCCATGAATGTCTTATCCTAATGGAGAAAGGAGGAGCTTACATCTTCCTCATATATTGTGGTTGCCTTTTTTTTTTTTTGCTTTCAGTCAAACGTCATTTTATTATTATCATGTGCTTTGTTTCTGCTATTGTGCTATTATTCTAATTGGAAGTTTCAGGACATTTTTGTTTCTTTGGAAATGTGTCACAAAGAAATAAGAAAACTTTTAAAAATAAATAATGAATGAGAAAAACGAAGGGAGGGAGGAAGAGAGGGAGGGAGAAAGGAAGATGAGATATAAGAAAGTTAAATAGATGATATATAAGAAAGTTAAATGTGGTTTTCTGTTAAATGTTGAGAGAGAGAACAGATAGCATAGTTGTCACAAACCAGGAATGGTTCTATTAATGTTATCTATCTTTTAGAAAGTCAACATATTTCTGTTCTCTGCATGTCCATAAGTTGTGTGCAAATATTTATGTAGAGCAACTAGAATTTAAAGTTTAAATACGTTTAAACACATAATAAACATATTTGCAGGAATGTATTTGTCCTACTTTTCTTTGCAGTCCGGAACTTAAATATTATATATTTACATAAAACTCAGATTTAGAACAATTGTATTAAACATAAGGCCTAAAATAAGGTGGTCAAAAATGCCTCTCCCACCCCAAAGGAAAAAAAGACAACTGCAAGAGTTAACAGTGCTGATAATATACCGGAGAGCAAAATATTTTTCTTTCCAACAAAAGCTTGTTATTTAGATTAAATGATACCATCACAAATATTAAACTCCTAATGTATCAAGCAGTTCTAATGTCACTGCAAGAGACTTCCATTCTTTGCAAAAATAAAAATAAAAAAAACCAGAAAGACTCCCCTTCCAAAAACACAATATTTATACTATTATATAAAATAAATTAGCTCTGCAGCCATCTCTAATTTGTGAGCAGATTCTATGTCTGTGTTTACATTCCAGCAAGGTAATTTTTAAACCCATGGTAACCTTTTAAATATTTGTTATTTAAG